ATCTATTTTTATTATTAAAATTTCTTTAAAGAGAGAGTGTTTTGCTCTGTCACCCAGGCTGGAATCCGATGGCATGATCATGGCTCACTGCAGCCTGGAACTCCTTGGTTCAATAGATCCTTCCCACCTCAGCCTCCCAGATATCTGGGACTACAGGTGCACTCCACCATGCCCAGATAATTTACATCATTTTTTTTTTTTTATAGAGACAGGCTATGTTGCCTAGGCTGATCTCAAACTCCTGGCCTCAAGTGACCCTCCTGCTTTATCTTTCCAAGAATTTGGGACTATAGGTGCGAGCCATCCTGCCCAGCTAGTAGGCCTAATTTAAGTTGCTAAAGAATCTCCATACTATTTTCTGTAAGGGCTGTTCTAGTTTACATTCCCACCAACAGTGTGCAAGAGTTCCTGTCTCTTCATGTCCTGACCAATACTTTTTGTCTTTGTTATAATAGCCATTCTCACAGGAGTGAGGTGAATATTTCATTGTGGTTTTGATTTGCATTTTCCTGATTAATGAGAGCATTTTTTCCATATATCTATTGGCCATTCATTCAGGTCCTTTGCCCATTTTAAAATTTCTCTCTCTTTTTTTGGTATTGAGTTGTTTGAGTTTCCTACATCAAAATACTTCTAAATTCAGAGTGTTGATGGAACATTGGTAGTTGCTTATGGGATAAAACAGACTCATGATTAAAGTAAAAAGTAAATAATAGTTTGAGAAGTTATTTAATTTTAGGAGAAACCAGTAAAATTGGAATCATTTGTGTTTTATTTGAGAAAATTAAAATATGGTACAAATATAAGAAACAATATAATACAAATATAGAAGAAGGGAGCCGAAACCACCATCCAGTCCAGGATACAGAGTTTTGGCAGTTACTCTGGAAGTTCTCACTGCTTCCTTGCAGTCATAGCCCTCTGAAGAACCATGATCCTGACTTTGTCATTGTTATCACCTTCTTAATTTCCTTTGTAGTTTTGTCACCCAGGTGTATGTTCTTATAGCTTAATTTTGCCAGTTTATTTTTAAAATGTCTTCAAAATATTTCAAATTTGTATTTTTAGAAACAAGGGTCTTGCTATGTTGTGCAGGCAAGCTGGGAACTCCTGGGCTTAAGTGGTCCCCCTTCGCAGCTCCCTGAGTACCTGGGACTACAGATGCATACCACTATGCCTGGCTTTTTATAAAAATACCTTTTAAAGCCTCTTTGTCTACAGATTCCCTCTCCATCTCTTTTTATACTCCCTCCTTTTTTTTTTTTTTTTTTTTTTTTTTTTTTGAAGAAATTCAGTGTTTTTCTTGTGGAGTTTTCCGAAGTCTGGATTTTGCTGATTACATCTCCATAGAGTTTAAAATGTTCCTCTGTATTTTCTGTAAATTGGTAGTCAAATTGAGAGGCTTAATAAAATTCAGCATTTTTTTTTTCATGGGAGAGGAAGAGAACTTCATAGATTCTATTTTTTCATTAGGAGGCATGTAATTATCTCTCTTTTTGTGAGTTGAGTAGCTATTGATACTCAGTAATGATTGACAGGTCTTGCTTTTTAAAGTGTTGTTATGAACTTGAGAGTTTAAACATATCTAACGTGTTTTGGTTCACTGCAGTTGCCGTTCTTCCCAGTGCTCAAAATGGTCTGTGATTGGGAAGCTAGAGTCTCTCCAGTTGACTTCTGTGTCATTTTGCCATGATCCTAGTAATCTTTAGTAGCCTTTCTGCTTTTTGGTGTAACAAAATAGTCTAGGTTGATCTTAAACATTTTCAGTCCCAGACCTGAAATTAGTCACTTCTCCGGTAATCCCTAGTTTCTTTTAGTTGGAAATGGTATTTCTAAAACTACAGCCTGTGCAACTAGGGAGGCTATATATTGGATAGGTCAAATATATTAAGAACTCATTAAAAATAATTCTGATTCAAATTCAGGGCTAAAGAGTTTTTATTTAACTTTTCAGTCTTACACCTATATATCCTTTTCCCCACCATGTCGACAATCCTGGTTCTTTTTTTTTGAGACGGAGTTTCGCTCTTGTTACCCAGGCTGGAGTGCAATGGCACGATCTCGGCTCACCGCAACCTCCGCCTCCTGGGTTCAGGCAATTCTCCTGCCTCAGCCTCCTGAGTAGCTGGGATTACAGGCACGTGCCACCATGCCCAGCTAATTTTTTGTATTTTTAGTAGAGACGGGGTTTCACTATGTTGACCAGGATGGTCTCGATCTCTTGACCTCGTGATCCACCCGCCTCGGCCTCCCAAAGTGCTGGGATTACAGGCTTGAGCCACCGTGCCCGGCGACAATCCTGGTTCTTATGTAAGTACTCTGATTTTGTTATTCAAATACCAGGTATTTAATTTTATCCCACATTATTGAAAACAGTAATCTATATTATTAGAATTACAGATTATAAAATTTTGTTGCATTTGGTCTTCCATTTCTTTCCCATTTGTTTCATAGTTGTAATATATCATCAAAGCATGTAGCTGTTAGGTACTACACCTTCTTTTTTTCTTTTGAGATGGAGTCTCGCTCTGTTACCAGGCTGGAGTGTAGTGGTGTATTCTCGGCTCACTGCAACCTCCATCTCCCAGGTTCAGGTGATTCTCCTGCCTCAGCCTCCTGTGTAACTGGGACTACAGGCAGTCGCCAGCACGCCTGGCTAATTTTTGTATTTTTAGTAGAGATGGGGTTTCACTGTATTGGTCAGGCTGGTCTTGATCTGCCTGCCTTGGCCTCCCAAAGTGCTGGGATTATAGGTGTGAGATAGCATGTGTGGCCAGTATGCCTTCTTTCCTATAGCCTCTGTTGAGTCTTAGTTCTTGAAGCAAATATGTATTACATGCCCGCTACCGATTCTCATATCCATGTCTTTCTAGTCATTTTCGTTGTCTGAAATTTATTCTGTAGTATAGTTGTTCTTACACCTTAGTGTGTATCATAATTACCTGGCAGGCTTGTTAAAGCCCCAAGTATGGGGCCTCCCCAGTAGGTTCTCTGGTTCAGTACATGTGGATTGGGGCCTGAGAATCCGTGTTTCTAACAAGTTCCCAGGTGGTGATGTTGCTTCTGGTCTGGTGACCATACTTTGATTACAGCTGTCTGTGGCTTTATACATGGAAGGCAGATTGGCTAAACATAAAATTCTTGGCTTACAGTTTCTTTCTTTGAGTATCTTAAATATGTTACCCCATTGTCTCTAGCATAAAATATTGCTGTTAAAGTTTGGCAATTCTGATTTTCTTTCTTTTACAAATGACTTGTCATTTTGGCTGGAAATAATTTTACTAGATTATTTATTGGGGAGGTCATTATGGATTGATTTCCCCGGGTATGTGATGTGTTTTTTAATTATATAGTATAAAGGGGTTTTTCTGTTTCTTTGCTTTGCCCTCTTTGCCGACTTTGTAACTTGGGAACACCTTTTATACATGTTTTAGATCTTCTTCGCCAACCTTTTGTATTTGTTACTTTCTTCTAGTCTTTCAAGTCTCCTTTTTCATTTCTTTTTGACTTTGAAAAAATTTCCCCCTTTCATTTCCGGCTTCTTATCTTTATTATCTGTCGTATTTATTCAGTTGTGTGCCTTCTAGTCTGTCCTTCATTCCGAGAAGTTTTTCTGTCCATTTCTGAGTTTTTCTAAATCCAGTTTGCTTTCTTAATAATTTTTTTAAACTTGTCTTGAGATTATAAGTTAGGGTTTTCATGTTTTATGGAGGTCTCTAACATGATTCTATTGTCTGTAGAGATGCTATTGTGCTTATTCTTTTTTCTTATCATAGCTTCGGATAGGATTCAACCTTGGTCCTTTTCTATTACTCGTTTTTATGTTAACTCATTTCCCCAAACGTTTAGTAGAGGCATGGGTTCAAAATAGCGTTTCTGGTAGTGTTTTTTTTTTTAAAGAACTCAAAGTATTATTTATAAGCAGTGCATTCATTTTTAAGTGTACAGTTTGAATTGTGGTAGTTTTACACAGTTTTGTAACCACCGTCACAGCCAAGATGTGGAACACTACTTTTACCCTAAAACTTATCTCATGTGCTTCTACAGTTGGTCCCTTCCCTTCACATCTGGCTCTAGGCAATTATTAGTTTCCCACCAGTATATTTTACCTTTTACAGAATTTCATATACAGGGTATCTTACAGTATATATTAAGATTTAGTAAGATTTTTTGGCTTGATTTCTTTCACAAAATATGTTTTTTAGATTCATTCATTTTGCTTCATATTGTCAAGTGCTTGAAAAATATGACAGCTCATTTTCTCCTAGCTCTGTGTCTATAGTACTTTTGTCTTTTTAACAATTACCCTGATATCCCTTTTCTCCTCATTATAGGTTCTGATCATAGGAGTTTTTCCTCAGTGTTAAGATTTGTCCTAAAAAAGTGTTTTGCATCATTGGTTTTGTGAGTTCATAGGGCTGAGAGTTCTCAAGCCGCTTCAGGCCTTACTGTGGACTCCTTGTAGTCACTAATATATAGTGTACAACCTGCACTCCCAATTTCAGCTCCTCAATATATTTTACCATACTTTCCGGGGAGTACCTGATTGCTCTTTTGTATTGTTCCTGTTTTCTGATTGTTAGAGTTCTGTTGCTTCTGTCTGCTTCTTCTCACATGGATGCTGATAGCATGTGTGTCTTATTATCTATTCATCCCATCTGCTTGCATTTTGGGGTTCTAAAGAATATCTGGAAATGCAGTGATAGTGTAGTACATTTTATCTGCGGGTTTTAGTTTGGTTATTAAATTCTCTGTATTTATGGAGGGATTTAGGGAGACTGGAAAACTATGCTTGAATCTAACAAAAAGCAACAATTATTTCGAATCAAATCGAGGACTGTGAGTGTCTGCAGACAAGCCTCGCTGCTTTTCTTCCCCTTCAGGGCCAGTGTTTGGGGAAGGCGAGGCTGCGGGTACTCTTCGGGGCTTCATTGTCCCGGGAGAAAGAAAGGCCCAGCCAAGGGTCCTCACAGCTGGCGCAGAATTTGGCCCGTTCCTAGGCGATCGACCCCGGAGAGGAAAGCTGCTTCTCAAGCTGGCGGAGGGAGAGGAAACGGCACACAAAAGCGAAAGCCACAAAGAAAACTGATAAACCCAGACAAGATGATAAAGATGATCTAGATGTAACAGAGGTAACTAATGAAGACCTTTTGGATCAGCTTGTGAAATACGGAGTGAATCCTGGTCCTATTGTGGGAACAACCAGGAAGCTATAGAGAAAAAGCTTTTGAAACTGAGGGAACAAGGAACAGAATCAAGGTCTTCTACTCCTCTGCCAACAGTTTCTTCTTCAGCAGAAAGTACAAGGCAGAATGGAAGTAATGATTCTGACAGATATAGTGACAATGAAGAAGACTCTAAAATAGAGCTCAAGCTTGAGAAGAGAGAACCACTAAAGGGCAGAGCAAGGACTCCAGTAACACTCAAGCAAAGAAGACTTGAGCACAACCAGAGCTATTCTCAAGCTGGAATAACTGAGACTGAATGGACAAGTGGATCTTCAAAAGGCGGACCTCTGCAGGCATTAACTAGGGAATCTACAAGAGGGTCAAGAAGAACTCCAAGGAAAAGGGTGGAAACTTCAGAGCATTTTCATATAGATGGTGCAGTAATTTCAGAGAGTACTCCTATAGCTGAAACTATAATGGCTTCAAGCAACGAATCCTTAGTTGTCAATAGGGTGACTGGAAATTTCAAGCATGCATCTCCTATTCTGCCAATCACTGAATTCTCAGACATATCCAGAAGAGCACCAAAGAAACCATTGACAAGAGCTGAAGTGGGAGAAAAAACAGAGGAAAGAAGAGTAGAAAGGGATATTCTTAAGGAAATGTTCCCCTATGAAGCATCTACACCAACAGGAATTAGTGCTAGTTGCCACAGACCAATCAAAGGGGCTGCAGGCCGGCCATTAGAACTCAGTGATTTCAGGATGGAGGAGTCTTTTTCATCTAAATATGTTCCTAAGTATGTTCCCTTGGTAGATGTCAAGTCAGAAAAGACAAAAAAGGGACGCTCCATTCCCGTGTGGATAAAAATTTTGCTGTTTGTTGTTGTGGTAGTTTTTTTGTTTTTGGTCTATCAAGCTATGGAGACCAACCAAGTAAATCCCTTCTCTCATTTTCTTTCTGTTAACGCTACAAAATCCAACTGAATGGTATCTCTTTGGCCCAGTCAACTTGGTCTCCTATTTTTAATAACTGTGTTGAAAAACTTGTGTACGCTTGTTGACTCCAAGAACTAAAAATAATGTGATTTTGCCTCAATAAATATAGTATTCCATTGAAAAGCAAACAAAATATATATAAATGGACTTCATTAAAATGTTTTTGAACTTTGGACTAATAGGAGATCACTTTGTGCCATGTGAATAATCTTTTTTAGCTCTGGAATTTTTTGTAGGCTTTATTTTTTTAATGTGGGCATATTATTTCATTTTTGAAAAAAATGTATATGTTTTTTGTGTATTTGGGAAACAAGAAGGGCAAAACATGGTAGTATAATGTGAAGCAAAACATTTAAATACTTAGAATTCTTTCAGAAAAGATTTTAAGAATTCTCTGCTGAATAAAAAGTACAAACATGTGAAACAATGAAATTCAGTAAGAGGAAAAGTAACTTAGTTGTACTTTCTGTAACTGCAACAAAGTTTGATGGTGTTTATGAGGAAAAGTACAGCAATAATCTCTTCTGTAACCTTTATTAATAGTAATAATATTGTTGCAGCCCTATCATACTTTTTAAGACTTACAGTATCATGAAAGTCCTACTTCAGTAAGACCTATTTACATACAATTGATTTTTAGCAGAGATCATTTAGTGTAACATACACATATTTTAGAGAGTTGTTAGCTAGCTATATATGTTTTAAAAAGCTGTTAGCTAGCTGTAAGGCTATAATCAGTCAATCCAGTTTGCAACCAAAATATGTTTTGGATAAGTGTATTGTATGTTTGTTTAGAAGTTAGAAATTGTAAACACTGGTCTTATGTTTCATTTAGATTCATTGTTGCATTGTCTTGTTACCAAAAAGAAATTTTGCCAAGTTTTTTTGCCTTATATTTCCCAGCATAATTTGATTAGAAAGTACAAAAAGGGCCGGGCATGGTGGCTCACACCTGTAATCCCAACATGTCAGGAGGCCCCCACAGAAGGATCACGAGATCAGGAGATTGAGACCATCCTGGCCAAAATGGTGAAATCCCGTCTCTGCTAAAGATACAAAAAATTAGCTGGGCATGGTGGCGTGCGCCTGTAGTCCCAGCTACTTGGGAGGCTGAGGCAGGAGAATCGCTCGGATCTGGGAGGTGGAGGTTGTAGTGAGCCAAGATCACGATACTGCACTCCAGGCTGGCAACAGAGCGAGACACTGTCTCAAAAAAAAGTACAAAAAGCCCTTGCTTTTATTTTACATCATACGCAGTAGTTAATAAAGTATACTCTGAATAAGAGGTGGGCATTATGATTTGTTTCTAAATTTTTAAATTTTATTTTTTTGAGACGAAGTCTCGCACTTGTCACCCAGGCTAGAGTTCAGTGGCACAATCACAGCTCACTCCAACCTCTGCCTCTTGGGTTTGAGCAATTCTGCCTCAGCCTCTGAGTAGCTGGGATTACGGCTGCCTGCCACCATGCCCAGCTAATTTTTGTAGTTTTAGTGGAGATGAGGTTTTACCATGTTGGCCAGTCTGGTCTTGAACTCCTGACCTCAAGTGATCTATCCGCCTCGGCCTCCCAAAGTGCTGGGATTATAGGCATGAGCCACACTGCCCAGCTGGCATTATGATTTGTGTACTCTTGAAATGGTTCTTTGTGGTTGATTTTTTTTTTTTTTAAAGCTGAAACTTACCTCATGAATAACCTGGTTACGTAAAGTAGTAGGTGATGAAAATTTCAATAAGACGTAAACATTTTAAACTGACAAATTTGAGTTTCAACTTTACAGTCATTGACCATAAAGCACACTAAAAATGTAAGTTATTTTTAAATATCATCTGAAATAAAGATACTTTTTAAAAAGGAAGAAGCTGAAAATGTATATTTAGACCAGCACACAATTTTGATTTCAGTTAGCCATATTCTGATATTTAGCTTTTATATATTTTGTACACATTTTCACATACTTTGCATTTGAGACCAGAAAGACTTGTAGGTCTTTCTGCAGAGTGAACAGGTCCTACAGAGTGAGTGGGAAGCTTACTACTAGATCAGAAATGTTTGCCTCTCGGAGTAAAAGTGTTTCTTTGAGATGAGCCATAGAGGAGACACCTTTTACTCAACTCTTCTTTGTTTTTAAACTTTGTTTCCCATGTTGTTTTCAGTCTTTTGTTTATAATTAGAAATTGTGAGAAGCTTCATTTAGTGTTTAAAAATGTGGGGAGATAAATCAGACTTAACATGTATGTAAGATCAATTCACTTAAAAGTATGGTCCAAATCGCAAAAATAGGACCAGGTAAAACATGTAGTCATTTTTTAAAAACATGTTCTTGGTCTTTTGTGTGTGTCTGTTTTATTCCATTAGAATAAATGTGTCCTTGATGTAAATGCAAAGCATTTCTTCCTGATTAAATTGTAGATGTAGACTTTACAATATAATTCAATAATAAAAAAGCAATTAACCTCTTAAAAAAAACAATTATTTCAATAAAATGTTATATCAAGGAAATAGCAAAAAATTACAAATATATGTTACATTGATAAAATGATACATTTATTTCCAGTTTTCATAATATTAAGGGAGGGAATGTGTTTCTTGTGTGACGGGGTATAGCCATTTGTGTTTCTGTATTTTCTGTATCTTTTACATATGTCTACCACATTGTCTTAGCTAGGCGTAGTAGTGCATACCTGTAGTCCTAGCTGCTTGGAGCTGATGGGGGAAGATTGCTTCAGCCTGAGCGGTTGACGATACTGCAGTGAGCCCTGATTGAACCACTACCACTGCACTCCAGCCTGGGCAACAGAGTGAAACTGTGTCTTAAGAAATCCTAGTAAGTTTCTTGTGAAGACAGAAGATAAGTGAACCTAAAATTTACCACGAAAATCAAAGGGCCAGAAGTAGCCAAGACAATCTTGAAGAGCAGACTAGGGGCCTTTCCAGCTTAGATATAGATGCCAAGCCCTGGAAATTAAGAGACGGTGGTCCTGATATAAAGATAGACAAGATCAGTGGAACAGTATGGAGAAGCCAAAAACATATATAGAAATACAATATGCAGTGGAAGTAACATTGTAAATCAGCAGGGACAAAAAAATGCTCTCTAAATGCTGCTTCAATCATTAATTATATGGAAAATGAAATTGTATTTATAACTTCACACTGTCCACAAAGATAAATTCTGGTGAATAAATTCAGAAAGCAGATTTTAAATTTATTAGAAAATATAAGAAATAATAGAATACTCAACTGTCGTTAAAATTTAAAAATACACACATATCTTCACATATAAATCTTAGAAATAGTATAATATTGAGTATAGAGTCAATTTGTATTATAATAAAGTATCACTCATACAAAATGAAAAGCATGAAATGATACAGATTTTTATAAAAAATGAAAACATACATGGTAATATATATCACATTCAAGATAGTGTTTACTTCTTTTCTTTTATTAATTTTTTTTTTTAATTTGAGTCAAGATTTTACTCTTACCCAGGCTAAAGTACAGTGGTGTGATCACAGCTCACTGCAGTCTTGACCCCCCACAGGCTTAAGTGATCCTCCCACCTCAGCCTTCCAAGTAGCTGGGACTACAGGCATTTGCTGCCATGCCTGGCTAATTTTTGTATTTTTTGTAGAGAAAGCCATTATACCTGGCCCTTATTAGTATTTTGATTTGATATGTAATGAATTAATTTGGAGAGAAATAACATCTGAAATAGAGATATCACATTATCAAAGCTGGTATATTCCTCTATTCATGTCTTTTATATCCAACAGCAATGTTCTATAATTTTCTTCATGAAGGTTTTATATCTCTTTGGTTGCGCTCACTCTTAGATATGTACACATACCTCTTTCTTGTCTTCATCTGAAACAGAAACATGTTAGGTGGGGCCATGTTGTCCAGGCTGTTCTTAAGCTTCTGAGCTCAAGCAGTCCTCCTGCCTCAGCCTGTTAAAGTACTGGGATTACAGATGTTGACCCACCATGCCTAGCCAGCATTTCCTTCTGGAAATCACAGAGGAATGTGATTAGGGAGGGCTATGTGCAGCTACAATTGTAACTAAAGTTTTATATTTTTAAATTAAAATGTTTTAAAGCAACGTGTGACAAAACATTAACACCAAGTGAGTGTATCAAACAGCAAAGAAATAGTTGGAGAAATTGTGGCATCTATATACTATGAAATATTTTTCAGCCATTAATGAGTTGCAATTAGGTCACTTTTATGGGAGGACTTTCAAGAGTTATTAAGTGAACAGGACAAGATACAGAAAAATGTTTATAAAATCATCTCATTTTTATAATGTCATGTGATAATATATAATGAGCATATATTATATATGCTGTGTATGGCCAAAATATGAACGTGAAAAAATGTGGAAAGATTTATAGGCTGTTAACAGGAGAGATAGCAGTCGTGGGAGTGAGGTGATAAGGTAAGAAGAGAAGGAGGAAGGAATAGGGAGTCAAGAAAAATAGAAAAAGAAAATGCACTACCAGCATGCTTGATAGGATTTTGTTTCTGTACTTGGGCAAATTTTTATACATATTTTTAGAAGGACTGTAGGATCACTTTAAAGACTGAGAGTTGACCTAATTTGTTATATTTGATTGGAAGCTGTGATAGAAACAGATTTAACGGAAAGTCTCTCAAAGAAGGAATTATTCAATGCTGTATTCCGTTGCTGGAGTATTTAAACAAATAATGTAATCAAATCAAAATGATACTTTTCACTTTTTCTCCCTTCATATTTAGTAACATAATGGACCCTAATTTCAATGAGGTTTTCTTTTTAAATAATGATAGATATAAAGTACTCACAATGTGCTAGATGATATAAAATAGCAGTTAATAAAAAGCAATCATTTTAATATTTTATGAAATGAAGCTTTTTGGCAGAGAAACTTTAGCTCTTTCTTTCTCTCTCTTCAACTTGGGAAAGAATGAGGAATAAATCTTTATTTTTTTGTTTTCTTTTTCTGTCCAAGACCTAAATATCAGTATTTCATGATGATAAATGATCTCTGAAATTTTCCTTTTTTCTTTCAGTGTGCGAGATGACAGAATTCGAGTTGAAAGGATGGATAACACTTATTTTGAATACAGCCATGCTTTCCAGGCAG